ATAGAGGAAGTGCAGGAGAAGCAGCATAGCCCATTAGTGGGAGTTTTCAGATAGACACTTCATTTACCTCGCCTAGAACGACTGTACTTTTGTACGTCCGCCTAGTAAACATCCTTATCACCCCCAAACCTGTACATCCCAACCTTGGGAAGTCTTGTTTCGGAACGTCAAGGGTAGCTAGCCGAGAGTGCGGTGTTTGTTTAGTTGGGATAGTTGAGGCCATAATTCAATTCTCGTTGTGCTAGGAATCCAAACCAGTAGTCGCATACTACGGCTCGGACCCGAACTCACTGAGGAAGACGCGCTTAGTCTTAGTGAAGTATAAGTAGGGGATTTGGTGTTGTGTTAGGTTTTGTGTGTGGTGTGTTAGTGTTCAGCTAGCCCGCATTCAGAGCTTAGTTAGCCCATTTTCACTGTTAGCGCATCTTGCCCGTTTCACCGGATTCTAGTCGGGTTACTCGTACAAAGGTCCCGGCTGGGTTATTTCCATATTGACACCCTGTCAGACCAACCTAGGGCTGTCACTGACATTATGACAACTTTTATCGGACTAAAATACGATGCACAGTCAATGCCCTATGCTACCACAGCGACCGAGTTGTTGTTGACTGTAGCATACATTGGACACGTGTATGTAAGTTATAGGGACCTCTGCAGTAATACTACCTCCTCCTCCATCAAATTGCATCGACTTAGAGGAGGAGGAGGAGGTAGTATTACTGCAGAGGTCCCAATAAGGAACAAGCAGGCACTGTACCTACATACACACATCCAATGTATGCTACAGTCATCAACAGCTCGGTCGCTGTGGTAGCATAAGGCCATGTTAGCCCCTACACATCTCACGACAAAACTTAGAAGACGGGTGAAGAATTATGGATATCCGACCACTACGGGAAGTACCTGAGGGACTCTTCGCACAGAATTGCACACTAGACACAGTCTGGGATCACGTGGAATCGCTACCCGATAATCCCCGAGTAACAGTCCGGGGGCCTTGCAATGAAGGATCCCTGTGGTGTTCAACGTTGTCGGGGCGCACCAATCCAAATACTGCTGGTGGAGGTACGCTGGGGAGAATGAGGACAGGAGGGCTCTGTTATATCGCTGAGCCAAGAGGGAAGGAATATCCGATCATATGACCGGAGCCGGGCTAAGCCGCGAACCGGAGATGAACAGATGTCTAGATCAGCCACTTCTCGGAACACCACAACTCAGCTAGGGTGACCGACTGACTGGCCTTGGGCTGCAAGATGGGGAAGTGTCCTATGCCAAGGTCCGAGTCGTACGAGCTCGAAGATGGCGACGGGACAGGGATAGCCTGGACCGGAGATACAAGAGCATCACCAGTGTTGTTGGTAGTTGTCCAGCGCAGTTCCGGTGTGAACCGGAACGGTTGACATGTAGAAGGAGCAAAGGCAGAGTGCCGGAGCGAACTAGAGGCATATCCAAGACACGGGAGACAACCCGGAGTTGAACCGCAGTTGTTGGTATGGCCGAGCGAGGACTCCGGAGTTGTGACCGGAAACCGGAGTGACCGGAGTGACCGGAGTCACAGAAGGGAACCAGAGGAGGACGGGAGCAAGGCCATAGGGAGGGAGTCGTCGAGAGGCAATGACCAGAACCTCAAGAGACGATTGGCAACAGTCCATGAGAGGGAAGCATGGATAACTTTTATTTTTCGGATACCGTACAAGATGTAAAGTACCGGTATTTATACTAAGGACAAGTAATTAGTATGAAAGGGAATAAGTAACATGAGGCAAAGTGAAGCAACATGAAACGAAGTGAACCACATGGAAGAAGACACTACCATGCGGCAAAAGAGATGAAGTGGGAATAAGGAATAATAGGAAGTAGGAAAGGGGAAAGGTAGAGCATATGGTTTGATAGATGAACGGATGGATAGAAGAGTGATAAGATGTAAGTGCTATGACATCTGCCTTGAGGCAGATGAAGAAGCGATGGGGAATGATGGGAATGTGATGGAAGCGTGAAGTATATGAAAAGATAACAAGGAGAAGTGATGAGAGCGTTGAAACAATAGATGAGAAGTGATAAGGGATGCATAAATGGAATAGGAGTTGATAAGGCATAATAGCGAACGTTCCGGGGAGAGTCTGATGACTCCGGTGACTCCGGGTAACTCCGGATTCCGGAGATATGTCCGGAGCGACTGGAACGAGAGCAGGAGTGATGGGGCATAGATGAATAGCGCATAATTGTACCAGATGTTGGACTGGCATGTTGGTAGTCGATATGAACGAGTTCCAAGGTACTGGTGTTAAGTGTTGGTGGTTTTGGGAGCTCCGGGTCGCCGGAGCGGACACAGTTGCAAGGAATCATTCCGGAGGACGTTGGCAGTCCTTTAGGAGAGTTCCAATGCATAGGGGCAGAGGTCCGAGACGACGTGGGTGAAGTGGAGCTGAACCAAGGAACGTGGAGGACCGGAGTTCGGAGTGATTACATAATCACAGTCCGGAATGTACCAAGGAGTGCGGAGGTGCCACAACCTGTATCACAGTGAAGGACCAGTGTGAAGTACAGGTGGAATGTTCAGGTAGAATGTTCCGGGGCGATATGGATGAACCGCAGAGAACCGATCAGGGCTGGATGACTAGTCCAGAGGTTCCAGGATTAACCGGGATGACCGGAGGGTGAACGAGGTGAGGAGTGAGGCCGGAGTTGGCCAAGAAGGTAAGGTAATGAAAGCGAAGTGGATATTAAGGAAGAAGTACTCAGCAATCCATGATTGGATGAGAGCTATGTATTCCGGGATAGGTCCGGGAGCAGGTGAACCATTAATCGACCGGAGTGAGCTGGAGTGGTGCTGGAGTATTATCAGAGTGGTGCAGGGTCTGATGTAGTGCGTGATGGTGTGTCCGGAGGTGACGGGAGCACGATCAGAGTTGGATTGAGTGCGACCAGAACCGATACATGGGAAAAAATGAAAGACTGATTTGCACGGACATAACAGGCTCTTACCAACGGAAATCCCACATAATTTGGAAATCAGAACAAAATTGGATTCAAAGACTACGGAGGTACAAGATGTCATAGTGGCATGGGAGGTGGGATGGAGTGAGAGAGGAGAGGAGATGGAGTGGATGTGTGCAGCGCGCAGATGGCAGGGGTGAGCCGGGCACAGGAGCGACTTGGAGTCCTAGTGCGCTGACCTTTGCGCAGCTCCTGCCTACCCCACACGCACATAGGATTTGCAGTACGGCAGCACCCAGTGTGCGGACAGAGACTCGATGTGCTGTGATACGGACTGCGGTTCCGTGAGTTGTCTGACCAGGTGTGGTATAGTCAGGCAAAAGCACGAATTTAATTCGTCCTCTAGAGGGAAATTTCTCTGTCGCAGAGATTTGTCTGCTACTGTGGTACACACGATGTTATGTATTTATAAATGGTGGTGGTGGTGGTACAGTTCCTTCCATACGGAATGAATCAGTTTTGCTAGGTTCCTCGAGGATTTATTTCCTCGTTGGGGGGCTAGCCTTCCAGGAAAGCTTCGATCGGAGGGTTTTCTACACTTGCGCGAAGGGCAATGCTCCGCAAGATGAACGCCGTTCCGTATCGAGATGCCTGGGCTATATGGTCCCTTTTCTTATCTCCTTGCCTCGTATAGGTTGGGCAAGCAGTATCTTCAAAACTGTTGAGCACAACGTGTACAGGTTATAGCGTGGTCCTTCGTAACCCGGCTTTTTCTCTACGCTGTGGTAGTGCGGCCAAGGAGTGTCAATTCCGTGGGCGTGCGTGTGGCGAAATGGTGAGAATGGATCGTGGAGTGGTTATAATCGAATCGGATAAGCCTTCCGCAACGATGGGGGTGGTACTCCGCGCACGGATCTGTGTTCGAGGCCCAAGCCAATGTTTACACGCTGCTAAGTTGGGCTGCTGGCCGTTTAGAAGTTTCACCGCGTGTTCTACAACCACGTGAGCTATCAACGCCAATGTTTTCTATAATTCCCTCTGGCTTGTTCTATTAAGCCAGAAGTACTACGGACAAGCTTCCTTGATTGAAGCTTCGGCCCAAATTGACCTTGGTTGGTCCCACGGAGGGCGGCGCAACCTGAGCGAGTATGTATTTGACTAGATTCTCACCCCGTATGATCGAGGGGGAGTAGCTTAGGTATGAGCAGTGGGAGGTAATAAGATGCATTCTTCTACGGACGTCCCTGCTTTTATACTAATTTCTTTCTGACCGCCGTGCGCGACCTTATTCCTCATTCGTCCACGGACTCCTTTCGACACTGCCCTCCTTGCCTCGCGGCGGGGATCTCCATGCTTTCCTGTGTGCTTGAAGGAGATACCTAACTCACGGACTGTAATGTTGCTGCCCGTGCACCCAATTTCCGTACTCCGTAGCTGGTGCACCTCCTTCCGTAGCTTTGATATGTGTATTTTTCCGCGTGGCGACAATTACCGTACTCTGTGTCAGCGATGTTTCCCGTTCCGTGTTCTGCGTATGCATCATGTCGATTCGTTAATTTTCGTGAGGACCATGGCGATTTGAGGATTTTTGCAATGGTAGGCCTGGTGGCGTAACTGGTAACGCGCACATTTGCAGTACTTTTCCTCGTAATATTCAAATGCGAGACCCTCATTTGATTCCAGGTCAGGCCATGTTGGCGAATGCATTCCTTCCCTTTTCTGTGCGTGTTCCGTAGTGCGTGTTTGCCTTTTTCAGCCACGGAGGGAGCGTATCACAAAGTGATAGCTCACAGTGCACAGTAATGTGAATGCACACTGGCAACTGGCCCCATGTTCTCTGTCTGACATGGCGGGCGGGAAGCATCACAGACGCATCCCCCATGTGGAGATGTATCACGGGTGATGTGCACAGGGATGCAGGTGGCAAGTGCTGGCTACGGCCCTCATGAAAAGAGCTTTTCCCCACGATTGAATACTGGCCTGGCGGACATTCTCTGCGTGGACAAAAACGGCAAACACACACTACGGAACACGCATGGAAAAAGGAAGCAAAATCACCAACATGGCCTGACCTCGAATTGAACGAGGGTCTCGCATTGTAGATTATGGGTCACTGTCACCTTACAGTAAATGCAGGTGTTACCAGTTACGCCACCAGGTCTACACCTCGAATAGCTAGCAATACACAAAAACCTCAAGGGCTGACTTCGACAAGGACGAGGGTTTCACGGGAGCCAGGGTATTAAGGAGCGCGCACACCTTGCAGTACCGAACAAACATATAATTGGCTGGGAATGCCACACATGTCAGCACAGAGCCTTAACTAGCAGGGTTACTGCGACGTAGGCGACTGGCGATACAGAAAGAGATAGGTTTAAGATAATCCGATTAAGCTCTGGAGAATAGACTAGAATAGTGTAAGGAATACAGAGCTTTAAGTAGGGGTTTTATAGTAAAATACCTACTAACTGGTAACGAAGTAATTAGAATATGTGAAATATGTCAGAGGCGTTGCCAGTGACGGTTGACGTCACAGTGTGCACAAGGCAGAGAGGGGTGATCGTTGAGAAAGCAATCGGAGGGAAGTTGAAATAAAAGGATCAATGCGGCACCTGATGGGATTCCTGATCCGGGGTCGGCATTGATCTCGGCATTCGGGTTATTCTGATCGCGGTTGAATAACCCGGGGTTAGGTTCGGAGCAAGCCTGTCGCCGCTCCGGCCCGGCGAGCCGGCCCTTCGCTGAAGGGGCTTGCTTCAAACTGCGCCAAACAAAGGGCTTGAAGATCCCTTTCTAATCCTCTTAAATCTGGGTCAAATATTTACATCTAAGCTGAACCTCATAGTGTGTATGGTTCGGCATATTTCAACGTATTTTTAAACATTTCAAGGGCTTCTGTTCCGGGACCATGCACCCATTGATCTGGACTTTCTATGTTTTTAGAGATTGACCTGTACAGGTCTAGGCACAAAGCAAATCAAGGTAGTCTTGCAGGCGAAGATATTTCCTGGCCATATCGGGAAGGTCACATATTATATGTAGGTTTCTTGATTGAGTTGGGACTGAAAGCCAGGCACTGCGATCTCACAAGTTCCTGCTGTCACACCATGTCACACCGTAGGGCGCGTCGAAGTTATACCGGAATTGGGATATAATATCATTGAGGATTTTCCAAGGGGATCTTGAAGTCTCATGAAGTATATAGCACGTCCATTCGGCATGTTTGAGTGGTTTTAATAACTTCACTTGTTTTTAGGCGAGCGCTGATGGACCGTGAGAATGTACGCGATTTCGGCCATTTTCAGAAATCAATGTGCAATAGCTTGGGTTTCAGGCCACGGGGTGCTGGGGTAAAACAAGGATTATGAAGCCAGGTATTGAGACTGTCTTCAATGAGTAGGACATTGGGATTCAGCGAGAAATAAATATCCTTGAAGCATCGCAAAAAAACAGTGTTTACACCATCTTCGGGGCACCTCTAACTCGATGAATTCTGCACCAATTATTATCAACTCTTGTGCAATATTGTAGCCATGCGTATCATTTAAAATATTCTTCAACTGACCCCGTAGCTCTGAGGCACTGTTGGAGTGCTAGAGCGTGATCGGCAACCCCACAATTTCAGCAGTTTGAAGCAAGCCCCTTCTGACGACAGCCGTTTTGTATGTGTTTGGTCTGAGGTTTGGTCTATTTGTCTGCCCGGCATGGCCCGGCATCGTCAGAACAGGGCTTGGAACGAACCTAACCCGGGGTGAAGTTGAATAATCCGCGGTGGGTGTTAGGCGAATAGCCCGGGGAGTTTAGGATGGAAATAGGTAAAAAGTGGGAATTATGACAACACAGATAAATTCACAGACGGCTGGCGAATCGCTACGGAAGGCGTGGAGCGACGGAATCAGGCAAACATAAAGGTCGTGGGGACACTTTCCGTCGAGCTCAACGGAAGGTGCGTCAAACTTAACGGAGGACATGTTGAGTCGAACTTCACGGAGGGCATGTGAGGATCTACGCCGCGAGGCAGGGAGGACGATGTAATGGAGGCTCCATGGACGAGAAAGGGAGAAGTGAGCGTGCGGTAATTGGGCTGGAATCCGTACAAAAGCCAGATGTATTTACCAAGGAAGCATCTTGTTATCCCCCACTGCTCACACCTAAGCTACCCTCCCCCAGCCTTACGGGGCAGAGTTGTCTCTCATATACACATACGAGCTCAGGCTACGCCATCCTCTGTGGGGCGAGCTAAATAGGTCGCTTGGATTGAAGGTTCACCAAGGAACCCTTTCTAAGGTCCCTTCGACTCTGTAAAACGGGTCAGGAGGAAATTGTTGAATACAAAGGCATTGGATACGGTGCAGTCGATGAAAAGTGCATACTTCTAAACAGCCAGCAGCCCATACTTAGCTGTGTGCAACAGTTGTTTCGGGCCTCAAACGCAGATCCGTGCGCAGGGTACCACCCCCATCTTCACGGAAGGCTTATCCGTGAAGATTATAACCACTCCACCATTTCATTCGAACACAACTTCGCCACACTCGTCACGGAACCTCATCCGTTGCGCGTTCACACAAGCACAGGAAGAAAACGGGCTACGGAGGAAAAGAGCTATAGCCTGCTCGTGCTGTGTTAAACCAGGTTCTGAAGATACTGCTTGCCCGAATAATACGAGGCAAGGAGAAAAGAGAAACCCCACGTCACCCAGGTCCCCCGGCTCGGATCGACGCTCGCATTGCGAAGCTCTATTCCTTCACGCAAGTGTAGAGTGTCCTCCAACCACGGCTTTCTTGGGAGGCTAGCCCCCAACGAGGAACCTAGCACCTACATCCTAATCCTCACGGAAACAGATTGTACCATCTTACCACCACCATCACCACAATTATATAAACCTTCCGTAGCATACAAGTAGCTACGTTTCTCCGCGACAGAGTAATTTCCCTCTAGAGGACAAATCACCTTCGTGTATTTGCCTGACTGAAACCAATTAATTGGTCAGACATCTCACGGAACCGCAGTTGGGAGCGGGCAGCGTGAAATGGTGGGTGCAGAATGTTTGAGACGGGAGACACCAGAAAGTTGCCGGAGAGAGAGCTGTAGCGGGTGAGGGAGCTGACGTTGAGGGTGTGGGTGCATGAATCAAATGGACCTGATTGGCTGAGGCAATGAATTTGGCAGACCGGTTTGAGAGGTTTGGAACTGTCTGACACAGCTGGCACCGTGGGGACGAGCAGATGATGGCAGGGACAAGAAAGGGCAGCAAAAGCAGACGGGAGGTCTTTCCACTTAGGACTTTTAGTAGGTCGTTTTGCGAGTCTTTGAGTTTTGGTTAAAACTGTAATTTAGTAAGTGCTCACATAGATTTAGATCTGATTTCGGGCATGAGGTGGGTCAGGCGGGTAGGAGAGCGCAGCAGGAACCCGACGCGTGATGCGGTCTGAATTGATGAGGAAAGTAAGATGTGTCTTTGATGTCTCTGGGGTCCTACATGTGTGCCGCAGGATGGCCATCATGGATTGCTCTGCCATCAGATCAAATAAGCATATCGCACTCTGTTGCAATACGGCCCGAGTCCCACACAAGCGTCATTGACGCGCTAGTGCCTAACACATTTCCCTGGGTGGTGTCAGGCAAGGTTGAAGAAATGTGGTCCTCACCGTCTTTAACAGCAGTGTGGTATCTTGAGGGACGATTGGATTGTGTTTCTGCGTGATCCGTCTTTACGGTGATGAAAGAATACTAGAAAGTATTACCTTCAATGCCATCTTGTTCCACATAAAGTGCATTGCATTGTAATGCATTGCGGAGTGCATTGATTTGCATTGCACTGCACTCAACTGCATTGATATGCATGGGTTGCATCAAATTGCACTAATGAAAATGGATTGCATCGAATGACATTGTATTTTTAGTCCGATAAACACCGTCATAAGAGGTAGACAAGAGCGCAACGGGGTGCTTTGCACCCTACCACTTTGGTTGAAATATTGATATCCAGGGCTAAGGGTACTTACAATGCGGTGTGAGAAGGTTTTGACCAACATCTTTCTCATGTGGGTTGGTTGCCTCCGTAGAGTGGATGCAGTTCTCGCACACAGCAGCAGCAGGCGGGTCGAGCGACAGCGGGCGGAATTGACGCATCTCGCGCCGGCAACGGGTCACAATTGTGAGCACACGGAGCAGCACAATGACTGTACGCTACGTACCTCGTTCCCGTGCTCTATTTCTCTGATGCTACGGCTGGACTTGATACAGCGAGGGTGTTGGCGTTGGGGTGAAGAGGTCGAAGTGGGTTTGTAAGAGGGCGGCGTAAGTGTCGGGCGCATCTTGTCAGGTTTCTGCACGGATGAGAGGGTCAGTAGGTGTGCATGTAGGGGGAAACACTGAGAGGAGAGCCGAAGGAGGACAGGGCAGTGGGACACGGCTCGGGAATGCATGACAGCGGGCCCAACGGGGAAACACTGAGAGGAGAGCCAAAGGAGGACAGGGCAGTGGGACACAGCTCAGGAATGCATGACAGCGGGCCCAACGCCCGCGCAGATGCAATGCTGAGTCCGTGCACGCCGTGGCAATGACCCTCTCCTCGCAAGGCCTCGGTGGTCGGCGCCACCTTCTCTGTACACGGGGACTCGACACATGGCATACGCATGCGCCAATACACCCGTGCCGAGGGCAATGTACACAAGGTCGAGAAAAGTGTAAATGAGGGCAGAGACGATGGCGGGATCCAGAGGAGGAGGGAGATGGGACGAGGGATGTGATGCCCCCAAAAAACAGAAGAAAAAAAACAGAGCAAAGGTACATACGGTTCTCCTTCTTGACAAGCAGCACTGACATTGCCCCCGCGCAGGTAGCGTATGCAAACCGCACGGGGAAGGAGGTGGTGTGCGGGTGTACGCAGACAAACAGACCCTGCTCCCCCTCATCTTCCAGCTCCTCGTTGTGCTCGTTCCCACGCCCGGTGTCGGTGGATTGCTTCATGGAGGATAACTAAAGAATGGGTAATGGGTGTGACTAGAAAGTGCGAGTGTGCGCAATGTGGAGTGCCATTCGTCGCTCGGCGGGGAGGGTGTAGGAAGATCTAAGACTCAATGTGCAGGTAACGCGGGTGGAGAGGCAGAGGAGAACAGGCTTGATGTTGGGCAGAGGTGATTGATCAAGTCACACATG